TCTTTCTCGTATTAGCCTCGTAGTTCTTTGACATTTTAACACGTTATAAATAACCTGAAGAAACATTGACACTCTTCGCGCCACTGTGTATGACGTTTGCTGTTTGTTTTGCTGATGGCCAGTTACTGGCCCGCGCGGGCAAGTGACTGGCCAATCAACTAGCCCGACATACACTTTTACTGGCCCCGGGCCATCGGGCCATTGCTTATGTCGAGCCCTGCTATAGCACGCATTGTATTTATCGTGCAATTTATTCGCGAAAATTCGTTTTTATGTACATATGATACGCACTGTAAACCCCTTGGGATTAGTGGTGTGGGGTGCATGCGTATAGATGTCATAAAGTGCATGTGCATGCGAAATATTCACGTATAAATTGCACGATAAATACAATGCGTTTATTTATAGAGACGCATTTAATGAGATCAGGCTGGTATATCCGAGTGAAACGCTTCTGGAGCAAGAACACATGTGGGCGGGGCTTGATTGTGTCTTTAGGGAACTGATTGGATGGTTGTGGTTTGCTATTGGCTGATCTCATGTGAGTGACAGGTTATAGCCCCGCCCTCGTCATCAGAGAAGAGATGCTGCAAGAGGAACTGATTCTGATTCAAGATTACCAGAACATGAATTTAAAAAAGTACTGCAATATTCCATAAAAACAAAATAAGGAGTGTCCATTTTTGTTTCATGCTGACTTTAACTACCACAGCACAATGCATACACTGTAAAAAATTATCGTGATTTTAACGGTAAAAGACTGTAAAAATGCTACAGTGCAAAACTGTTAATTGGTTAACAGAAAGTTTCCTCACTATATACGGTAAACTACTGTGATAGATCTAACGGTACATTTAATGTAATTTTACTGTAAAATACTGTTAAATTTACAGTTTTTGAAAGTGAAAAAGAACAACTCATTGTATAATTTACAGTGAAAAACCGTAAATTGACATTCCCACAATTCCCTGCGTGACACTTCACATTTGATGTATTTTTGTTGAAATAACTATGTTTCTTCTTAGTTTTCTTAGTTCTTTTCTAATCAGTTATGTACATTAGGGTTTTATCTCACATTTAATGTTGTTAAATTAATGTTTATTGCATTTTTAAAATTTCATGTGTGTTACCATGATGGTGTTTAATGTTTGTGCGGATGACACTGTGCAGCTTCTATATAATAATATTAACTTTCTAGTGAAAAATTGTTTGTGATAAGCTTTGATTTATCACATGACTGTCATCACTGCTGTGATGATTGTTGGTTGTCAGTGTATTACAATGGTACAAAACAGATATTAATACTTCAATGGGTTGGTAAATTAACATTAAATCAGATAATGAAATACGGTTTATTACTGTAATTTTTACGTTAAGTCTGTAAAACCAATAACGTTGATACTGTATTTTTGACGGTAAAGTTCTGGTAACCACAGCTGCCGTTTTTTTTTCCGTAAAAACAACGGGATTTTTTTTACAGTGTAGTAGAAGATATTAACTAGCTAGTTTCCCAAAATTATAGAAACTTTGTAGAACATTCATGCTTCAAACCACTGTTTAGCAACCGTTGTTAATGACCTCATGCAAGGGGTTGAGGAATAACTTCTGCTAATTAATCAGTTTGTCAGATTTCTGCTGTAAATAGCAAAATAGAGGTACTGGAGCTCATGTGCACTCTTGAAAATTGTCTTTTCATTCTCACGAAAAGACAATGAAATCTGTATAGAATGAAAGATATATATTAGCTTGATTGTTTTGCTCAAGAGGATCATGAGGTTTAGGTTGATTTAAAGTCAATAATTGTATTCCTTAAAACTCATCTTTGATCACCAAAATTACATATTTAAGCATGTTTTTCCTTGAAATTGTTTTGTCATGCCTTAAAATATCTTGAATGTAACTCGACACCCTTGCCTCATTTAGTATTCGCGGCGGTTCTATGAATATGCAAATGAGCCCCGCCTCCACTCACTCCCTCAGCTCAGAGATCCACTGGTTGACGATCACACGTTGATCTGATTGGTTACAAGGTCGTTTGTGACGTCAGAAACATCAGCGATTTCAAACCGTGTTTTTGAGACTGTCTTTGGTTCACTGCAGTTTTAAGCAGAAAATACTCAGCAATGCTGTCGACTTATGAATTTACACATGGTTTGTCTTAAAGCACATTAAAAACACCACATAGACATATAAAGAACATTAAAAGCTTGACTTTAGGATGGACTGTTCACTGAAAGGTTATTCAGGGAACCAAAAATGATTCATTGCTGTAGAAAAAACAACCTTTTGGAACCCAAACACGGTAGAAAGAGTCAAAGAACAGTTTGATGCTTGTTTTTACTGTTTTAAATTGCAAACTGTTTGGAACGGCTGCAACTGGGTCCAGGATTATATAGACAGTTGTTTTATTTCATTGTCCTCGAAGTTCAGATGTGAAGCTCATGATTTCCCGAGGATCCGTGTCCTCGTCCCACACCTACAGTACACGAGCAACACGAGGGCAGGGAGTTTAGCCAACGCTTCACTGGACCCTCGTGAGCCTCGGTAGAAATTGAGTTATCAAAAAGAGCCAAGGCTGAGGAAGACATAATTGTTTTCTGGTCTGGAAAACAACTTCTCAAAAGCTTTCATATGTTTCCTGTCCTGCTTACGCAAAGCACAAGGAGAATTTCACCAGGCCTGAAGAGAAATTCAAAATCAGGGGTCCAGAGATGCAAATATATGACCTTTTATATGCGGTAAATAGTTACAGAGCCAGACTATAAACACAATCACATTTGTGCACTAAATACCATATTATAGGATGAGGAGTTACTGCGTTTAAACAGTTGCAATGAGCGAGAAGTGAATTCCAAGTAACTTGTGTTTCAAACATCTGTTTTACAAAAATACTTCGCACCTGCTTAGATCACGGTGGTCCGAAGAATTTTTTTTTTTTAAATGTTGGATGAACACACAAGCACTTGCATAGTGAACCAGGAGTAGAGAAAATGACAGCTTTATTAAAATGATATTCAGCTTGAATCGTCATGTTTACGGTGAGGTTTAACTTCAAACATTTCTCTTTTTTTTAAGTGTGAAATCCTCCCCTATAGATCACAGGTGTTGACAGGAGACGCATTGACACGCATGATCAGGTAAAGCACTGATCGAGTCACTCCAGACAGATGTTGATGGCAGATGTAAACAAGCCCACATGTGTTGAGTTTTCAAAGCTGCATAAACATCTGCACACACCATCATAAAACCCCTCTGTTTGTAAACATCCGCTGTTACTTCTGGGATCAGAACAGCACAGAAACATCTACTCTGTGCCACTACGGGAACCACATGAAACTGCACCAATAATGACTGTTTCCAAACAGGTTTCCCAAACGCTCTACTTATTTCCAATGTTCAGATCGAGGACGTCTAAAACAGGAGAAAGTTATCCGTTAGCATTTCCATTCATCTCAGAGAAAGTTGCGACCCGGATGCCACTGTGAATATTTGTCATGACTGATGACTTCTTAAAAGCAGTAGATAGGGAAGTACATCCAGGTCACGCAAACCCTAACCCAGGGTTGTTAAAGTTAACTTCGGGGGCGTTTACACGACACCACTTTCAACTAAAAACGTTTTGGCTGCATGTTCATTTACACAACAACATTTTGGCAGCAAGTGCAAGTTTTAGAAATGTGTGAAAATTATGTTTCTTGACAAAGAGACATCGCCATCTACTGGCCTGGCGGCAGAATACAGAGATTTTTTGTCGTGGATCCCCTGTGAACCGGGATAGTTTTGACAACATTGACATAATTTAATAAATTGAAATAAAATATAAATCTGATTATAATCTTGATGCCAACAGTTCTCATTTTCATTTTGTTTAATTTCATTTAGGCTACTAAAATAACTCAAACTGAAATAAAAATAATAAAAAAATAGTAAAAATTACAAACAAAATAAAATTAATACAAAATGAAAATGGAGAAAATAAAATAAAAACGATTGAATCTCAATGATACTAAAATATCACTGCCTATACCTTTAGCAAACTTCAGGATATGACATTTAGGCAACGCTTCCTTTAACAGTACAGTACCATACGTGTACTTACAGTGTACTTACCTAGAAAGTACGGGCTAATATAAGCTAAGTACATGGGTTAGGGGTAGGGTTAGTACCTAGTTATTACCCAGTAATTGTAATTACTATAATAAGTACATAGTATGTACATGGGTAACAGGACTGTAAAAAAAAGCGTTACCGAACAATGTTTAAGAGGTTCAACAAGTACTAAGAGTTTAAGATTGACTTAACTCCAAGAAAAGTGGCAAAGGAGGGAATCCTGTGTCACGCTTGTATTTGATGTAATAGTGGGCGTGGTCTGTGTACAGCGGTCTTTACAGTGGGGTGGGCGTGGTTGGTAGCTTGTTGTGGGCGTGGCTGTAGTCCTGACGCAGACACATTTACCAGGTAACCACGCCCCCTAAAGCAGCCTTTCTATTCATAGCAAGCGCGCGAGTTACAGATTGTTTCGGCTGTTTAAGAGGCAGGTGTCTCGATCAGGATGACTTCTGTATCTCTCAGGTATTATTTTTTTAAATACCACGTTTTATGGGTGTAACTAAAATTAGGCTATATGCAGCTTCAATCACTAGCCACATCTCATGAATTTAGCCGTGTTTTAATACACTTTGTTTGTACCATTTCCTCATTAATTTAACTTTTTAGCTACTATTACAAAAAAAAAATCATTTAAAAAAATGAACAAAGATACACAATCCCCCTCCTTTTTAGCTGAGAGACTTTAGACATGATCAACATTGGCTTAATTTATTAAAATGTATTAAAACTCAAGCAGCTCGGTAAGCTATCATTCATGGATATTTCTACATTACAACTTATTATTACAACAACCAAAAGACACCAGTGCATGACAGTTGCTAAAAAAAAAAATAGAAAACAGAAAATAAGAAATGCATCGCATAAAAGTTCTCAGGGAAAAGATCGCATACCTTCACTTCCATACTGTTTGCCATTGTTCGCACCCATCCTGAAGAACACATAGTCTCTCCACAGAGTGAAGCATTAATAATGAGACACGGGGAAAGTCCTCGAGCTGACACGATATAGATCCATGCGTCAAAGTCTTCTTTAAACCAGCGAGCAGAGCCGAATCCAGATGTTCTTCTGTCTGAGGAAAATGCCCATTATAGAGGAGAAGCTGATGTGGAGCGGGCGGACCCGACAGATGTGTGTGTGTGTGTGTGTGTGTGTGTGTGTGTGAAACTGAACCATACGAACTCACTTACACTGAGACCAGAGACTGTGATGGAGGGCTGGACCAGCCTTAAAGAGACCCTCAGTTTAAAACCACACAGATCATCTCTAAAGTATAGTGTTTGGGGACATCATAGCTCATTAATATATATGGACTAAAAAATAATATATTATAATATAATATAATATAATATAGGTTAATTTAATATTTAGTGCTGGGCAACGATTAATCGTGATTAATCACATCTCAAATAAAAGTACAGTACAGTATGCATATTTATATATATAAGAAATATTTGCATACTGTATATACATTATACATAATGTATATTATATATATATAGATTTAAGTATTTTAATTAACACATTTTTCTTAAATATATACATGCATATGTGTGTATTTATATATACAAAAAAATTATACACATGTACTGTACTAACACACACATATATTATGTAAACACAAACTTTTTTATAATATAATATAATATAATATAATATAATAAAGAGTATTGGTCTCTTAAGAAGCCATTTAAAATGTATGAATGCTATTGCATTATTATAACCACTTAGTGGTTGTCAAATTTGAGAGGATCATGTTCATAGTTCAGTATAACATGTGTGATCGTGTGGGAAACTGATTCATGTCCTCTAATAATCACTAGTTCTGTGAAAACAGTAAAGATGAGAGAAACAAACCCAGTCGACACTGCGATGTACAGCAGATGCATCTGAAAATGTGGACCATTAATAAGATAAATATTAATATCAGTGAAGGACATGAACCAAGTCTGCATCCTTACCGTGTGTTTCTATTGTTAGTTAGAGACTTCCTGCGCAGAATAAAGGCGGGACTATCAGCGGAAGCCCTTTACTCTCAACAACAGGAATCATACACACAAGGGTATTTTTGTCTAGGAATTACTTCCATGAAACTCTCATAAATCAGTAAATGCCCTTGACCTTTATGTTGTAGCAACAATACAAAGTTCCTTATTGTTTGCAAGTGCCGATGGACTTTTATTGTCTTAGAAGTCAACATCTCTCTCTTTATCATATTCATTATGACAAAGGTGAATAGACTCATGCCAAATAATCACAAGATCTTACTACTTATTCCTGGACCACACATTTTTAAAAAGGTCTTTCTAAATACCAATGGCTGTTGTTAATTATGTATTCATTTATTATCCATCTATCAAACACAGATCTGAGCAGAGTCTGTAAAACATGTTGAGTTGCACAAATGTTATTTTTCTTGGAAGCGAGTTTGAGAAAACGTTTAGCGTCTGCTTTTGACTGGTGTGTGTTGGCTTGCATGACCAATCAGAGTCT